AATATTTTCCCACAAACAAAACTAATATTGAATGCTTGGTCGACATGAGACACATGGAGATCAGGGGTTAGAGGTTGAGTTTGTAACCAATGTACTATGTAATCCTTGGGACCATACAACACCTTGTACTACATGCATATTTTCACTATACAAAATGCACCTGTTCATTTAACACTACCTTAAATGCTTGGATTGTGTATCCACTGTTATTGTGCATATCTGATCATTTGTACCTTTATGCTTCTTCCCCTGGGGGGGGGGGGGGCTTCTTCGTTTCTGTACCACCTTGACCATTTTTTGAAAATCAATAAAAACTTCTCGAATTGAAAAAAAAAAAAAAAGATTTGCTGAGTTACTTTTCACCTGCAATACAAAATGAATTCATTGGCCTACTAGGAGACCATGTTCATGGTGAAATTATCTCCAAAGATAAGAAAGCTAAATATTATTAACTCTTTTTGGACTGCACACCAGACATAGCGCATCATGTGTATTAACCCCTTCCTCCCCCCAGAGCCCGGCGGGAGTGGCACCCTAAGGGTGGGGGCACCCTCAGGGCACTATAGTGCCAGGAAAACGAGTATGTTTTCCTGGCACTATAGTGGTCCTTTAAGACTACACAAAAAAAATAAGATAAAATTTAAGATAAAGTTTTTCTATTGCCTATATGGATTTATCCTGCCTGTTTAAACCTCTTGGGCCCACTCTATATTTTCATATTATATCTTCCCTATCAGGCTTTTTTGAAGCCAGACAATATTTAAGATAAAAATGCAGCTGAGCAGTGTTTCCCCTTTTTTCTACCATCTTCTTCCTCATTTAACTTGCATTATTCCCCTTTTTAGTATTTTGAATTTTTATTAAGCAAGACCTACCCTTACCATGACACTATAAGGATTATTCATTAAACACCAAATTATGCCAGAATAAACAGCACTGACCGATGCTTCCATGTGAAAAGCAACAGAATAATTCCTCCTCATTTAAACACATCTGGAAGTCCAGGATGTATTTAGCATACGTCCCATTTGTTCCTGTTTATGAGGGACTGTCCCTAATTTGGTCACAAATCCTTCTTTTATATCCAAATATCCCTTTTTCTGGAGCTCCATATTGTTGAGTGAATAACAGCTTCACAACAAGTAATACTCACAGTAATGTGCATTTAAACTATAATAAAGGTGTTTAGATATCAGTCTGTGTAAATAAGATACATTGTTCTTGATCTAAATAACATTTTAGTTGTATAAATTGTTATTAGTAAGTAATCTAAAATTTTGCAAAACAGCCCTGCCCCGACACATCCAAGTCACGTCACTAAAATGAAACTGCACCTTTTTGTCCATTTTAAATGTTGGGAAGGATAGTTTTGTTATGCTGGTAGCATTTGGAAAATCATTTTCTATTGACAAAATTTGCAGATTTTCACTGTTGTAATGTTTCCAAATGCTGCATGTTGGTCTCACCATTTTACTGAGAGGAAGGAGTGTGAGGGCAGTGGGGTAGTGGGGTGGGGGTGGAGTGTCCAGATTACCAGTAAACATTGTTTTTTTTTTGTTTGTTTTTTCAAATTAGAATTCAAAGTGAATTAAATTTGACATTCACTTTGAATTCTCACTTTAGTAAATAACTCTGTGCTGTGATGGGGAGGGGATGCATCATAACAGAACATTGGTAAAGAATTAAGTCATCATTCAGATCAAGGTCATGCAGTTAAATATGGTTCAGCTTTCAAAACTCAGAGGAATTTTCTTTTCCTTTATCTTTTATCTTGTTAATATTCAGTTAATGACTAATGGAAAGAGATGTATATAGTTTTTGTTTCCGAATTCACAAAGACACCAATCTGACACCAACCCTGTCCACAGTCAAGAGTTATTTCTCCTTAATGCACAGGCATTGTTATGTAGCTAATTTTAATTGGGTTGTGTGTATGGTGCATGTGTTTGGAGCCTGCTTGTGGGATTGCGTGTGTGTAGAGTGGTGTGGTATTGTGTAAATAGGTCAATTTCAGTTGTGTTTGTGGTGTAATATGTGTGGCTAGGGGCAGTGTGTGTGTAGGAAATCTAGTGTGTAAATGACTCAGAGTGTGTATAGGAGATTGTGTGTGTGTGTAGAGGATTAAGAGTGCATATAGGGTAAGGGATCTAGCGTGTATCTGGAGCGTAATGTGTGTAGTGGTGCTGTGTGAGGGGTGCTGTAGTGTGTATATATATATTTGGACGTATTGTATGTGTGAGGGGGCAGTGTGTGTGTGTGAGGGGTGCAGTGTGTGTAAGAGGGGTGCTGTGTGTGAGGGTGTTTTTATCTGCCGTCACATTCTAGGTTTCTAATTTTTTTGTCTGTTAACTCAATGAGGGTTATTTTATTTATTATATATATATGTGTGTGTGTGTGTGCTGTATATGTGTGGGAGTGTGCTGTGTGTGGGTGCTGTCTGTCTGAGGGAGCAGTGTCTGTATAAGGGAGCAGTGTCCGTCTGAGGGTGCTGTGTGTGTCTGAGGGTGCTGTGTGTCTGGGTTCTGTGTGTGTCTGAGGGTGCTGTGTGTCTGGGTGCTGTGTGTGTGTCTGAGGGTGCTGTGTGTGTCTGGGGGTGCTGTGTGTATCTGAGGGTGCTGTGTGTGTCTGAGGATGCTATGTGTCTGGGTGCTGCGTGTGTATCTGGGTGCTGTGTGTATCTGGGTGCTGTGTGTGTCTGAGGGTGCTGTGTGTGTCTGAGGGTGCTGTGTGTCTGGGTGCTGTGTGTGTCTGAGGGTGCTGTGTGTCTGGGGGTACTGTGTGTGTCTGAGGGTGCTGTGTGTCTGGGTACTGTGTGTGTTTGGGTGCTGTGTGTGTCTGGGGGTGCTGTGTGTGTCTGGGTGCCGTGTGTGTCTGGGGGTGCTGTGTGTGTCTGGGTGCTGTGTGTGTCTGAGGGTGCTGTGTGTCTGGGGGTGCTGTGTGTCTGGAGGTGCTGTGTGTGAGGGGGCTGTGTGTGAGTGTGAATTTACTTTTTATTTAAATATATTTTTTATTAATAATTTTAAAAAAGTTATATCCCCCCCTCCCTTCTTACCTTTAGCCTTGGAGGAGGGGAGCCGCCTGCCATGAGGGGGGACCATGCTGCCATTATTTTATTTATTATATATATATGTGTGTGTGTGTGTGCTGTATATGTGTGGGAGTGTGCTGTGTGTGGGTGCTGTCTGTCTGAGGGAGCAGTGTCTGTATAAGGGAGCAGTGTCCGTCTGAGGGTGCTGCGTGCGTCTGAGGGTGCTGTGTGTGTCTGAGGGTGCTTTGTGTCTGGGTTCTGTGTGTGTCTGAGGGTGCTGTGTGTCTGGGTGCTGTGTGTGTCTGAGGGTGCTGTGTGTCTGGGTGCTGTGTGTGTCTGGGGGTGCTGTGTGTATCTGAGGGTGCTGTGTGTGTCTGAGGATGCTATGTGTCTGGGTTTTGTGTGTGTCTGAGGGTGCTGTGTGTGTCTGAGGGTGCTGTGTGTCTGGGTGCTGTGTGTGTCTGAGGGTGCTGTGTGTCTGGGGGTGCTGTGTGTGTCTGAGGGTGCTGTGTGTCTGGGTACTGTGTGTGTTTGGGTGCTGTGTGTGTCTGAGGGTGCTGTGTGTCTGGGTGCTGTGTGTGTCTGGGGGTGCTGTGTGTGTCTGGGTGCCGTGTGTGTCTGGGTGCTGTGTGTGTCTGAGGGTGCTGTGTGTCTGGAGGTGCTGTGTGTGAGGGGGCTGTGTGTGAGTATGAATTTATTTTTTATTTAAATATATTTTTTATTAATAATTTAAAAAAAAGTTATATCCCCCCCTCCCTTCTTACCTTTAGCCTTGGAGGAGGGGGGGGGGAGCCGTTCTGCCATGAGGGGGGACCATGCTGCCATCCCTGGTGGTCTTAGTGGTGAGAGTGAACTCTAGCCTGTAGGCTAGAGTTCACTCTCGCGAGATCTGAGCATTGCTGCGGTAACCGCGGCAACGCTCAGAATCACGCGAGAGTACCCGGCGGAGCTGCTGGCTAGAGCTCCGCCGGTCCTCTCCTCCCTCCCTCCCTCCCCAGCTGGCGGCCGCTTATAATTGCCTCTGGGCCGGTGAGGGAGATCTTTGACCTCCCCACCGGCCCATGGAGGCACACAGCACGGCTGGCGCTCGGGCAGTGCTGGCCCTGCAGGGGCTGGCAGGGGAGATCCTGTGATCTCCCCTGCCGGCCTCGGCCCACGGCCATCGCGGCCCACTGGGCATTTGCCAGTTTTGCCCGATGGCCAGTCCGGGCCTGCCTACACTCATACAAGTATTTTGATAATGCATGTCATTGTCCACTGCCACAATTTCCTGGGCCCCATACCAGTATTAATCATTTAATTTTCTGTACACAGATGCACTCTATAAGCACTCTAAATAAAGCTCTGTTACAATGAAACAAACACACACTATCTGAATGAACTAAGCAATGCAGTTGGATTTACTCGTTGTAACAAGGACTCCACCTAGTTCTGTTGTCAAATTCATTTTTGTCAATAACGTTTTTGTTTTTTTAATACTGTAAAGCGTTGCAGAATATATCGGTGCTTTATAAATGGTAATAATGAATAAGGCAGAATATCCTCATAGCTTTAGGCCAGGGGTAGTCAACCTGCTTTGGGTTTTCAGGTGGGCGGTGGCAGGTTCTGCAGAAAATGCACAGTGGGCCTCGATGGCCGTGGATCAAGGCCGGTTTGGGAGATCATTTCATCTCCCCTGCTGGCCTATGCAGAGTCAGCCATGCTGTAAGCCCCCTCATGGACCTGCTGGCACTTCATTCCAGCAGAGGGAGGGAAGGGCCTGGGAGGCTCTGTATTCCGGCCGTAGCAGGCTGGTCAGAGCATTGCACTTGCACTATAAAATTAGTTACTGCAGCACTGGTGGGCGGTAAGGAAATTTTACCATTAACAAAGATACAAAAGTGGGCGGTAGGTAATAAAAGGTTGACTACCCCTGCTTTAGGCTCACCTGGATCCCTGAAACAAATGTGTTCACAAACATCTGAGTTACCAAGGAAAGTACCAAACCATAATTTATCTAACACTTCCCCAGCGAAGTTCTGTTTGCGGCACTGAAACAAAATATTTAGTTATCCACACAATTTGCATTGCACAATATCCACGTTATTAAGGAACTGTGAGAAAAGAGCACATGACAGCGTGTTGCAGCTTACACAGAGCTTCGCATTCACTTGAATGATCACCCTCAGAAAACATAGGGGAACTTCAATGCCTAGCTGCGACTTCCCAGACACCCAAACAAACGAGACGCCTTGCTACGCCCACTGCATCCTGGAGAGCTGTGTTTGACATATCGTGCAGAAAGGTCGCCAACACTGAAGCTTTCAACTTTCTACACGAAGGAAAGAACTCAGGTTTAGAACCCTCTGTATCCAAGAGAGGCTCTGACTACGACATTAGTGTTTGTTTACTACCTAGTGCCTGACATACAGCTGTGTCTGTAAGTATGGGGAGAGGGGGAGCTGTAAAACCACATTAATGTAACTATGGACATTCCATCGAATAATCCTGTTTAGATTTACTTTCGATTTCTTCTAAGTGGCCAGGCGCTAGCAGGGTTTAAAGAAACGTCCGAGGTCTGCTGATGAGGCTTTGAAAGTTCTTCCCAAAGATAAGTTATGTTAAAACAAGCCCAGACTTCTTACATTGATACCTTGTATAATGCAGGGGTTTGCTCAGTGATTTTTGGGGAACGGAGATTTTATTGTGCAAACGGTAAAACAGCATAGCATAATATTGCTGAGACGGAGAATATTTGCAACTCATTTACATTCTTTTTTATTTTGCGATTTTTTTTCTTCTTCACAATCTGTGTACGGAATCTAGAGCATATATATTTTCTTACACTTCCTAAAACCTGCCAGCAAATGAGCTATTTGAGTAATAGGATGATAATTAGGATTATTCATCTAATCAGTAATGGGGGAGTGGATTGCAGCTTTTGGGCTACAATTTAAACATTAAAGAACAAATACACATATTTTGCTATCTCTACTATTTTGTATGTAGATCAAGTCTGGCCTTACTTACTATTCTGTTGATAGTGCCACATTTAGCTGGTGTCATTTATTGGAATAGAGGACTTTTTTGCATTAGCTTGCTATGTTTATTATGTCATAGTTTCCTCAGTCAAACTAGTCCAGTACAGGAATATATGAGAATATATTGGAATTTGGTGTTAAAACCTTATATTTAACTATAGACACGCTTTTACTTTTAAAGGCCTACTTGGGGTACATGGTATACAATCATTTAAAAGGTAGTTTTGGAATGGTGATTGATGATACCAATACACGCTATGTCAGGGGTGGGCAATCTGCGGCCCTCCAGATGTTTTGGACTACATCTCCCATAATGCTCTTAGGGCCATAATGCTAGCAAAGCATCATGGGAGATGTAGTCCATAACATCTGAAGGGGCCAAAGATTGCCCACCCCTGCGCTTAATGATACTTGATTCATGTTCTGTATCAAAGCAAAATAAATTAGTTTAAATTCAGAAGTTTTACAGATTATCCAGGGTTACTCACTAAAGTGAGATTTCAAAGTTAATTTAAAAATTAAGGTAAATATAGCCAAATTGGAAAATTCTATATTTTAGCACGTCAGCTACTTTGGCCTTAAATGTGAAATTTACTTCGAATTACCACTTTAGTTAATAACCCTGATAAACTTTACAAAACCAAGCCTTCATATTCTCACCCTTTCTTCTTTCCTAAAATTAATGTAGCATAAAGATTATACAGAGCCCGCAAGGGAAAGCACTTGCCCTCCCTGCCTCTTTATCCTCTCATTAGTATATATATTTTTTATTTTTTATAATCTAACCGTTACCGCCCCTTCCTTGCTCAGATAGCACGCATGCACCCTGAGATGGCAAAACGGTTCAATTAAAGCTTGTCTATGAGAAGTCTTTGATTGGACCACATAAGGCACTGGCTGAAATTGTCTTTAACCCCTTAAGGACCAAACTTCTGGAATAAAAGGGAATCATGACATGTCACACATGTAATGTGTCCTTAAGGGGTTAAAGTCAGCCCGTGGAGCTTGCTTGGTACTGGATTTCAGGCAGTGCCGTCTTAACAGCGTCAGAGGCCCTCAGGCAAAGCAGTGCACTGGGGCCTACACAAGCACTCACAGGAATATAAATGTAAAATATCGATAAAATGTATCTATTTATTGGTACCACCAACAAAATCCGTGTTTAAACATTAAAAAAGATGCTGTACAGCAGAGATTAATCCACAAAAATCATTGGAAAATACAACATGTGCCTTAAATTTGAAAAACAAGAAATTCAACATAAAAATGGTACTCAGTTGGTAAATCATACGACGGATATGACACAGTACTAAATTACTATGAATTATTTATGTAAAGATAACAGCTGATACTGAAATGATTAGTCCACCTAAACGTTTTTTAATGAAGAGGGTTTGAAGGTTCTGAATAAATCTCCTGGAATAATATACTGAAACGTTGACAAGCCTATGGGTCCCCTATGCTCGTTGCGCCCCCAGGGAAACTGCCCAGCATGCCCATGCGTTAAGACGGTAGCTCTGCTGACGTAGTAGTCCGTGGATCTTTAAATTTGTGTTCATGCATCACCTATATTTTGAATGTATGTAATTGTGAGGTCTGAAACATAAAATGAAATGTAGAAATCCACACATCTATCCAGGGCCGATTTTCTTTTAGGATGAAGCCTGGTGTGTATAATTGGATGGATGAATGTGTCTAGTTTGAGTTATGCAATTGGATGGAATAATATGACTAGTTTGGGGTATGAAATTGGATGCAATAAAATTACTAGTTTGGGGTATGCAATTGGATGGAATAATCTGACTAGTTTGGGGTATGAAATTGGATGGAATAATGTGACTAGTTTGGAGTATGCAATTGGATGGAAGAATGTGACTAGTTAGGTGTATGACTGTATGGTGAATATGACTAGGTGGGTGGTTGGATTGCAATAAGTCCAGGGTGGGTGGGTGTACGTGAAATTTTTTGTGGCTAAATGTATTAAAATGACACTTTAGTCACCAGAACCATTATAGCTTAATATAGTGGTTCTGGTGTCTATAGCCTGTCATTACTCATAGAGATGCATTGATTCAATGGGAGAAAAGGTTGCGTTTAAAGACATTTTCAATGATTTAACGGGGGCCAGAGACTTAAGTAGTTAAACACTATAGTGTCAGGAATACATGTTTGTATTCCTGACACTATAGTGTTCTTTTAATGTGACAGGGAATGACTGGGAGGTAAGATGGGACTATGTGACTGGGTGGATAGAGAATCTGATGAGTTCAGAGTATGTGGTTGGTTTGGTTGCTGAATGTCAATGTGTATGTAAGAGCAAATTTATGTGAAGGGGTAGTGAGTGCATGTAAATGACGGGTGTATTTGTTTAGAGTGCCAGTATGTGAATTTAGTGGTGTCTTGTTATAGAGTGCCAATGTGTGCATGAAGGAACATTTTGTGTGACATATGTGGGTATTTAATGTATAGATGTGTTTGCACACTCTGTTTTCAATTCCCAACTGCCCTTAATTATCTCTCCATGCTCGTATATTCACTTACTGTGTATAATCGAGTATAAGTCGACCTGAATATAAGTCGAGACCCCTAATTTTAACCCAAAAAACTGGGAAAACTTATTGACTCGAGTATAAGACTAGGGTGGGAAATGCAGCAGCTACTGGTAAATTTCTAAATAAAATTATATCCCCCGAAAATTATATTAATTGAATATTTATTTACAGTGTGTGTATATAATGAATGCAGTGTGTGTGTGTGTATATAATGCAGTGTGTGTGTATGAATGCAGTGTGTGTGTGTGTGTGTATAAATGCAGTGTGTGTGTATGAATGCAGTGTGTGTGTGTGTGTGTGTGTGTATAAATGCAGTGTGTGTGTATGAGTGCAGTGTGTGTGTGTAAGAGTGCAGCGTGTTTGTGTATGTGATGCAGAGCCTTGGTGGGGGGTAGGCATTTGTATTATTTTTTTAAAATAATAATTATTATTTTAGTATAAATTTTTTTTATATTATTAATATTTTTATTTTGTATTTAATTTTTTATTTATATTTTTTTCATCCCCACTCCCTGCTTGATACGTGGCCAAGGAGGGAGGCTCTCATTCCCTGGTGGTTCAGTGGCATGGGCTGTGCAGGAGGGGGGCTGGCAGAGAGCTGTAACTTACCTTTCCTGCAGCTCCTGTCAGCTCCCTTCTCTCTCCTCAGGTCCGGTCAGCTCCACTGTAAGTCTTGCAGTGTGAGTGCCGCGCAGAGCGTTGCCACGGTAACCCATGGCAACGCTCTGACCCCGCAGCTCTTGCGAGATTTACAGTGGAGGAGAAGGGAGCTGACCGGACCGGAGGAGAGAGAAGGGAGCTGACAGGAGCTGCAGGAAAGGT